GCACTCTCACACCTGCAGAGGGACGGTTGGTGGGGCGGCAGAAGGAGAGAATCCTCAAGCAGCCTCCTCACTGAGTGCAGAACCCAACATGTGGCTTGATCCCGAGATCATGACCTGAGCTGAAACCAAGAGTCGGATGCTTAACCCACTGAACTACCCAGGCACGTGCCCCCCCCCATTTTTTAAAGATTTATTTATATGGTTTTTTTCTAGTTTCTTAAGGGGACTTTATATCATTGATTTATAGATTTTTTTCCTAGTGTAAACATTTACAGTTGTAAATTTCCCTCTGACATCATGTTAGCATCTCACCAAGTTTTATTCTGTGGTATTTTCATTATCATTCAGCTCAAAACATTTTCTAACTTCTCTTGTGATTTCTTCTGTGACACACAGGTTCTACAGAAGTATGTTCTTTAATTTCCAAGTATATGCTACAAAAAAGGGCATCCTTGGTAGAGAATAGTTAATAAGGTGTGTGGGGGTGCTAGAATCACTTGGTCTGTTGCTGGACTCCAGGGCATAGTGGTCCTGATGACTCTTACTAAGAGCTTAAAGTTTATCTCCTCAGTACTGGAAAACAGTGATGGGTTTTAAGCAGGGTGGGAACTGATCCCGGCAAGATATGAGAGCTGTGTAAGAGCTGTTTAGTATTATTACTTTTACATCAGGGTTTCAGGAAGGTAATCCTGAGGGATATGGAGTAGAGGGGTTCAGACAATAGTACTGATAGGTTGTTAATTTCTTGATCAGAACTGTCCAGCAAGGGCTCATCTTGATTCTGCTCTAAAAGATTCTGTTCTCCACAATTGAAAAGAGAGGAATGGAAGACTCTCCCCAATTGTGAACTATCAACTCTAATAGATTCAGAATGGATTGCTGAGCTCTGAGCATTAAACAGTAATGGTGTGAATACTCAGGGAATTCTTTCTTGAGAGAATTCAGCTGTTTGCACTCTGAGAAAGATTCATCTCCAAGGTTTGTCCTGGCCCTCTTGTAGAAGATGGCTTAAATGTTGGTGCCCCTGCACCCCCTCCCACTTCCTTTTCTGCCCCAAATCACTGTTCTTGCTTTCTCTGAGATACTGCTGGGACATGTGTGCAGTCAAGTTCTCTCTCGGTTTGTTTTTGTTTGTTTGTTTGTTTAATATTTTATTTGGGATGCCTTGGTGACTTAGTTGATTAAGCATCTGCCTTCAGCTCAGGTCATGATCCCAGAGTCCTGGGATGGAGTCCCGCATCGGGCTCCCTGCTCAGCGGTGAGCTTGCTTCTCCCTCTGCCTGCCACTCCCCCTGCTTGTGCTTGCTCTCTCTCACACTCTCTCTCCCTGACAAATAAAATCTTTAAAAAAAAAAAGATTTATTTTTGCGAGAGAGAGAGCTTGCTCATGTGATAGCACAAGTAGGGGGAGGGGGTGGGGCAGAGAGAGAAGCAGACTTCCACTGAGCAGGGAGCCCGATGCAGGACTCAATCCCAGAACCCTGGGATCTTGACCCAAGCTGAACACAGACGCTCAACCGACTGAGCCACCCAGGCGTCCCCAGTTCTCTCATGTGACCCAAGATCAAGGATGAGGTGGCCTCCCTGCTGGGACTACTACTTTTTTAAAAAGATTTTATTTATTTTTCAGAGAGCACAAACGGGGAGGGGCAGAGGAAGTGGGAGAAGCAGGCTCCCCCCTGAGCAAGGAGCCCGATGGGGACTCCATCCCAGGACCCTTAGATCATGACCTGAGCTGAAGGCAGACATTTAACCAACTGAGCCACCCAGGCGTCCCATGGGACTACTTTTTTAGCATAAATTCTTCTAGGTACTCTTCCTCTACCCCTGTGCTCTTTTTGCCAGAGAACCTTTTGGAACCTGACTTCCCTGTAGATTCCCTGGTGTCCATTACAGGGCAAGGCACAGTCACACTGCATTTTGCTTAAATTAATGGTCTGTGAGTTCCTTTAGGTTTATAATGGATTACTGAGGGAAAGTCCCTGATTTTCTATGATATACTGTGGACATAATATGGGCCATTTTCACACCTCCATCTGTGATATGGAGATCACAGTAGCACTTCCTGCAGAAGGCTGGTGGGAGGTGCATATAGCTGACACGTGTGCCTCTTATCTTGTATATATTACTGTATTCTTGGCTGTCGGCACTGAAAGAATAGATTCATATACTCCATTGTCAGTTTCATAAAGTGCTAGACGTATTCTCTTTTCACATAATCTCTTCTCACCAAAACTCAACTCTGCTGGGATATTCTGAGTTGGTCATTAGTGGACTTGCAGTCATTAATAAAATTTCTGTTTCAACAGAGGGCCGTGTTTTCCATAGGTGGGCTGCATGTGGTGTGCAAATTCTGAGGATTTGTTGCTGCTGTTAAGTGCTGTTCAAATCAAAGGATCAGACTAGATAGGGTGGTAAAATTCTTTTTCCTAAGAAAAGTTTTGGGGTGCCTGGGTGGCTCAGTTGGTTAAGCGACTGCCTTCGGCTCGGGTCATGATCCTGGAGTCCCGGGATCGAGTCCCACATCGGGCTCCCCGCCCAGCGGGGAGTCTGCTTCTCCCTCTGACCCTCTTCCCTCTCGTGCTGTCTATCTCTCATTCTCTCTCTCTCAAATAAATAAATAAAATCTTTAAAAAAAAAAAAAAAGAAAAGTTGTGGAGTTCGATTTTGAAAATCCACAGATTAAGACAGGATGTCACTTAATGATTGCCATTTGTTGAGGGGTCATGCTCTCTCCAGTCCAGTTCTAGGCTCTGTGGATCTGTGGGAGGCAGCCTGACCCCTGTTTTTAGCTCACAGCCTCCACCTAAGCCATCTGTGGTGAGGAAGGGAGCGGTGGGGGTGGCTGCTGGACATGGTCAGGACTCCTCTCATTTCCCAGGTGGTTTAGTGCCTTGTCAGGACCTAATAGCCACTGCATGTCAAGACATTTAGAAGTCAGGACAGAAAATGGTGTAGGGCTGATTGGGCCCCATTAGGTAAGAGGTGATAGAAAAGGCTCCAGTGAGGAGGTCATCCAAAACAGTATCACTATCAGATTAAAAAAAAACAAAAACTGTAGTCAGAAGCTATATTCAAAGCAATTATTTAACTTTAAACCTTATGTTTTGTCTGTTTTCATTTTGTGATAGTGGTTTGCTGTGGATAAATAGTTTTGTTATGGCAACAGTTAGAAGAAATGTCAGTTACAATTCAGGGATCCTAGACCTAACGTCTCCATGGTCCTCAAGAAGAAAATACTACAGCAACGTGTATGAGTCAGATGGCTGTTACCTTGCATGGAAGGGATGTGGGGAACCCCACCCTTAGTGAAATGTGTTATCTTGAGACCTTGGTTTTCTCCAGATGTACCTGGGCTGTAGGATAAAAAGGCATTCACTCACTGCACAGCCTTTGACACTGATTGTGCACTGGGACATGCCCTTGTTTAGTAAGTGTGCACCTGTCTCCTTTCAGGAGTAACTTGAGCTCTAGGGATTACGTGTTGGTCACTGTGTCTTTCCGCCTGCAGTTCTTATCTGTGGACCAGCTGCCTTATAGTTCCTTGGTAGTTCCTGTTTAAAGACTCAGTCCAGTGGGCAGAGTACCAAGGTTCTGTGTGTTCTCTTGGCTCCGTGGCCTGAAGTGTGCTCCTTGTTTCTCCTTGATTCAGTAGCACCCTCATGCTATGTAGTGCTCTCCCTAGGAAGCCTGATCTAGACCTCCAAACACAACCCTGTCTTCTGTGCTTCTACCCTAGTCTTGACAACTTCAGGGTGTTCCTTTTTGTAACTAGTCTGCCTAATCTGCTTCTCATCTCCACTCCACCCTTTTTAAGAGAGAGAGAGCATGCCTGCGCAGGAGCCCCAGAGGGGCAGAGGGAGAGAGAGAATCCCAAGCAGGCTCTCCAGTCAGCACAGAGCCCAACGCAGGGCCGTGTCTTACAACCATGAAATCATGACCTGAGCTGTAATCAAGAGTTCAGACGCTTAACTGACTGTGAGCCACCCAGGCGCCCTAGTCTTCTTTCCCTATTAACAACATAGTGTGGCTATAACATGTACATGCTATCTTACTACTGGCTTCTTTAGCCTAACATTAGAATGTGAACTTTCTATGTCAATAAACTTATTTCTGTAACATCCTTTTCAATGACTGCATACTAAATCATTGCATAGACCTATCATATATTGTTTACCTAGTTCCTTTTTGTTGGACATTTAGTAATTTTTAGTTTTTTACTCTTGTAAAGCACTGCGGTACACATATCCTCTATGATTTCCTCAGAAAAATTTACAGAAGTAGATTTCCTAGCTCAGAGCACCTTCTGAGGCTTTTTGATAGCCACAGCCAGTGTGCTTTAAAATGTAGGGGCCACAAAAGCTGTCCATAGGCTTTTTTTTTTTTTTTTTTTTTGACAGAATAAGCAGGGGGAGCGGCAGGCAGCGGAAGAGGGAGAAGCAGGCTCCCCTGCAAGCTAGGTGCTCCTGTCCATCGGCTTTTAAATCATACTTGCAATCAGGGCTCATTGGTTACCAGGAATTTGGAGGTTTTAAGCAGGGATGTTTTGATTTGCTGGATTTATACAAGAAGTCCAAGCCTGGAGATTTTCTGAGACTAACAGGCCTAACTAGAGGTGCACTTCCCATGTGTGGCCCTCCTTCAGCAGCTTGAGGGAACATAGGCCACATTAGGGAACACACAGCTCTTTTCTTCAATTGGATGCTGGATTGTTATTGTCACAGGGTGGTTTTACTTCAGTTTCAACTCAAACTAATTTCTTGGAAGTGTCATTAATGAAAGCAAAGAAAAGTGAAAGAGATTCAGGAAAGATTATACTAAGATTATCACTAGGATTATAAGAGTCTGAACTTAAAAGATGAAGCAGAGAACCAGGAGGAAGAATTTGGAAATCAAGCCTGGGCCTGCTGTAGACATGAATGTATGCACTTCTCAAAAAGTGGAGTTCTCTGAAAGAAACTACAGTTGTAATTTGATTTTTTTTTCTTTCTTCTTTCTAGGTATCTCATTCAGTTGCTAAACTTATATTAGTTAATTTCCACTGGCAAGTTGCAGAGATATTGGACAGGTAAGGTGTTTGGGGGAAGAGAGATGGCCTTGCCCATAGCTTCTTCCTCTGCCCATCCACCCAGTGGTGATTATTGTTTATGTTTTGGAGTATATCCTTAACAATGTGCATATTATATATTTAAAACATTGGATCATATTGTATATCCTTTTATCCTCTCAGTACCTGGCGAACATTTTTTCATGATTGCATCATATTCTTTCTATCTCTGTTTCATTGCTGGCTCAGTATTTCATCGTATAGATGTCCCATGCTTTTTTTTTTCTTTTTTAAAGATTTTATTTATTTATTTGACAGAGAGAGACACGGCGAGAGAGGAACACAAGCAGGGGGAGTGGGAGAGGGAGAAGCAGGCTTCCCACCAAAGCAGGGAGCCTGACGTGGGGCTCAATCCCAAGACCCTGGGATCATGACCTGAGCTGAAGGCAGACACCTAACGACTGAGCCACCCAGGCGCCCCTAGATGTCCCATGCTTTTTTCCAAACCCCTGTTGTCAGTGAAGTTAGCTCATTTTTTTTACGCCGTTAAGAATTTCTAATCAGTGCCCTTCTGTATAACACTTGCTAACATCTCCATTTGTTTCTTTTGGATATATCAAGTGAGGAATGCAACATACTTTTGAATATTACCTTCAGAAAAGATAGGCCAGCTTACCACCAGAACCAGATCTCTAGAGGCACAGACTTTGGAGTCTCAGAATGTCCTGGAAGTTGTCAGGAGGAGGGGTTCCTCTTCCTGCTGCCCCCTCCGGGAAGAGTCACCATGCCCTGCCTACAGAGGCATGTGCTTCTGTCTAGCATAGGGTTTCTCACCCTCAGCATGCATGCCATCTGGGGTTAGATAATTCTTTTTGTGGGGCACTGTTCTGTGAGTTGTAAGGTTTGGCAGAATCTCTGGCAGAATCCATTTGAAAAGACAACAAAAAATGAGCAAAAGAACAAACATTTCATAGAAAAGAAGGCATGAACAGCCATTAACATGAAAAGATGCTCAACCTCCATAATCTGGGACACTGAAATTAGCACCCCGAGCCTTTGAAATAAAGTCTCCAAGTAAGCCCTGGAGAACAAAATTGCCACTAGTGAGAATCACTGGGCACATCCCTGCCCTTTCACACACCAGAGAGTCTTTCCTTGTACGGTGTGATCCATTTATCTGCAAAGGAAGGTCATGCCTTTCCTTCTCCAGGCTAAACATAACTGGGATGGCTGTACCTGCTGGAGCAGCTCCGCCCACTCAGGAAGGAGCAAATACGCTTCTGATTTCACTAACTGAACTCTTCACTCTGTATCCCCAAGAGGCGAATACGTTTAGGTAGACTTTCAAGTGAACTTCCACTGTCTGCACTGCTGTTTCTACTACCCAGAATTGGGACCCATGTAGGTTCCAGCAGTGGGGTATCTCTCACTGTCCAACTGTAGCCTAACTTGGGGATAGACAAGATGGCTAAGGATATTAAGAATACTAGTGTGAGAAGTAGGAATAAAATCAGTTGAAGGAGGCATTCTGACTAGGTGGAATAAGGAAGTCACATATATGAGACCTTCTTCCCTGCTCAGCTTCCTGGATTCTGAGTAATGGGTTTTCCTGAGCTTTGTGTGACACTTTTATTGCCACGTGGTAATTGTTTTTATTTTTATTATTTTTTTAAGCTTTATTATTTATTTTAGAGAGAGTGTTAGAACAAGGGGAGGGGCAGAGGGAGAGAGAATCTCCAGCAGACTCCCCACAGAATCTGATGCGGGGCTCTATCCCAGGACCCTGAGCTCATGACCTGGGCCAAAATCAAGAGTCAGACGTTTAACTGACTGAGCCACCCAGGCGCTCCTGTTTTTATTTTTAAATGTATATATTCCATACCTCATTCCAGAAAGGAATTAAATTTTTATTATGAAATGTTTCTTTTTCAAAAATATATGTATGTGCACACATGTGTGTGATGTGTGTAGGTTTTAAAGAATGATAAAACAAACATACTTAAGTATCTGCCCAAATAAGAAACCCTCTGACCTTTATTCAGAAGCCTCTGATGGCAGTCTCTGCCTGGCCATACCCCCTTCCTTCCCCTCCAGAGTGACCAGTATCTTGAATTTGGTATTAATCATTTTCTTATTTATTGTTTTTTTTTTAAGATTTTATTTATTTATTGGGATGCCTGGGTGGCTCAGTCGGTTAAGCGGCTGCCTTCGGCTCAGGTCATGATCCCAGGGTCCTGGGATCGAGCCCCGCGTCGGGTTCCCTGCCCAGCGGGAAGCCTGCTTCTCCCTCTCCCACTCCCCCTGCTTGTGTTCCGTCTCTCTCTGTCAAATAAATAAAATCTTTTAAAAAAAATGATTTGATTTATTAGAGAGAGAATACAAGCAGGGGGAGCAGTAGAGGGAGAGAGAGAAGCAGGGAGCCTGATGCGGGGCTCGATCCCAGGACCCCAGGATCATGACCTGAGCAAAAGGCGGACGCTTAACTGACTGAGCCACATAGGCACCCCTTCTTATTCTTAAATTATATATCCTTTAGTTTTGTATGATTGTGTGTTTTTGTTTTTTTTTAGGCTCCATGCCCAGCATGGAGCCCAGCACGGGGCTTGAACTCATGACCGTTGAGATCAAGACCTGAGCTGAGATCAAGAGTCAGATGCTTAATCAGCTGAGCCACCCAGGTACCCCTAGTTTTGTATGTTTTTAGAACTTAACAGACATGGAATCATGCTGTATGTGTTCTTCAACTTTTAAAATTAACAAGGCTGCATTTTATGACATCCATATTCCTGTCAAAAACCATTTGTGAGTTTTAGTTTTTTGCTGTTACAAATAATGCAACTCTGAAAACTCTTGTGCATGACTCCTAGTGTCATATATTTTTCTACAGTTGAGTATAAAAACTGAGAGTATCTGTTCCTTAGCTTTACTAAATGGCAAAATGTTTCCAAAGTGATTGTATCCTGTTACATGCCTACCAGTGGTATATGAGTGTTCCTGATGCTGTCAGACTTGAAGTTTTACAATCTGCTGGGTATAAATGACATATAATCGTGTCCCAGATTATTATGGAGGTTGAGCATCTTTTCTTGTTAAGGACCATTCATGCTTTCTTTTCTGTGAAATGCTTGCTCTGTCTTTGCCCATTTTTTATTGTTACTTTCTTTTCAAATGGACTTGGAGGAAGTTTTCTTTTTATTTATTCTGAATATCAGTCTTTTGCCAATTATATATGTATTGAATTATCTTCCGTTTATAGCCTGGCTTTTCACTTTATGGTGTTCTGGTGACCTGAACTTCTTAAATGTAACATAATTGGTCAGAGTTTCTCTTTATGCTTTGCATTTTTTTTTTAATTTTTATTTAAATAATCTCTACACCCAACGTGGGCTTGAACCCACAACCCCAAGATCAAGAGTAGCATGTTCCACCGACTGAGCCAACCAGGTGCCCCTGCATATTCTTTGTCTTAAGATATCCTTCCCTATTCTGAAGACACAGATATTTCCAGAAAGGAGTTGAAAACAAACATGGTCCTTCATAAGTATTTTTCTTACAGTTTGGTGTCTTTGAATCAGGGTTATTATTCTCATACCAGTTGAGGGCTAAAAATTGAAAGAGATGGGGCGCCTGGGTGGCTTAGTTGGTTAAGCATCTGCCTTTGGCTCAGGTCATGATCCTGGAGTCCTGGGATCGAGCCCCGCATCAGGCTCCCTGCCTAGCGGGGAGCCTCCTTCTCCCTCTCCCACTCCCCCTGCTTGTGTTCCCTCTCTCGCTGTGTCTCTCTCTGTCAAATAAATAAATAAAATATTTTAAAAAATTGAAAGAGAAAAGTATTTATACCAAAGTAAAAGGAAGCTTGGTACTGTCAGAAGGTAATTAGAGACAAAGACACTTTAGTGCAAACGCAGCACTTGTTGGTCTCATCTGGTTTTGTTCAGAGGTTAAAACGTTTGTCTTCGTTTCTGAATCCCTTTATTTCGGCTTTTTGTTTTATAGATACAAGTCTAATTCTGCTCAGCTGCTCGTTGAGGCTCGAGTTCAGCCCAGTCCCTCGAAACATGTGAGTATCTCCCACTTGAGCAAGGCTTCTCCTGACACACATGGCTCTTGCTGTGGCTTATGGTGTTATTGAGAACCATCTTGCTTTGTTTATAGTACAACATGCCTGAGATTTTTGTTCCAATATGGGCCTAAATCTTCCATTTCCATTTTAGTTTAAAGAGTTTCCTCATGGATGAAGAATAAATCATTGCCAGTCCTGGGGCCCTCTCCAGCCTCACCTTCTTCTTTACACACAGCCTGTACTCCGTTCCTGCTGGGCTGCTTGGTGTTCCCAAGCTCACCATATGCCTCTTCGACTGCTTGTGCTGGCCCTGGCCTGGAATGTCCTGACCCTATCCCCATCTTTGCTTGTGGGAATGGAACTCATCTTTAAAGACCCAAATCAGGCTGTCTTTCACAAAGCCTGTGATCTCTCCTCTCCAAACACGTCTAGTTATGTCTTGAAGTCTTTACCTGTGTGATGTAATGAGTCACTCATCTTTTTCAACTCCCCTACCAGACTGTGTGCTTTATGGTTAGGAACCATATCTTACTATGCATAGCAGTGTCTTATGTATTTAGGAGTTTGACAAACATTTGTCAAATGAGTAAGGGCCATGTCAAAAGCACTCTTTAGGAGGGAGAATCAGGGTTCAAATTACCCCATAACTTTGTAGCTCTCAGGAGAAAATTTCCAGAAGCACATTGGATAAAAATGAGAATATAGCCTTTTTCCTCCAATTGTTTTTTGTATTTCCAGTGAACTAACCAGAACCTAATGTAAACCTGTAGTGGACTTCTTTGTCAGTTTGTGGCTTGGGCCAGGGATCCCACATTGTCTTTGTCTGCCAGTTCGTATAGCGTGGCATGGATTCTGGAGTTCAAGCTTTGCAGTTATTTGCCCACATCCTGGAAGGTTTCTTCCCTGGTAGGAGCCTTCCTCATCCCTCTAAATTAATTGTATATTACATCTCTGCAGTGTGTTAAGGATGAGTTGTGAGTTAGTAAAAACTGTAAAGTTTTGTGTTTTGGGCATATCTGTGGGAAAAGCACTGTCTTTGACAAGTAAACCTGCAGTGTGGTATTGTTAGAAGCTTAAGTAGCAGCTCTGTGCACCAAATGGGGCAGTTCATAAAAGAAACCCGGTAGCCTCTAAAAGCAGAATTTGGACCGAATGACCTTTAAGGACCTTTGGCAATTTGGAAATTCTGAGTTTTTCAACCTGACATCATAAACTAATGTAAGTTCTCCTTTCAGCCTTCCTCGGCCTCTCTGAATCCTAGTGATTGTGCAAGCCCAGCTCATGTGCCACCTCCTTCAGGAAGCCTTCCTGATCTGTGCTTTCTTTTGAGAACTTTTGGGACCCACAGAGGCCACACATTGCAGTTGAGTTCTGACACTTGTTGCAGGGTCAGGCTCGCCTCCCATGCACCTAGCTGCATCAGGCACCCCTGTGGCCTCCCAGGATCTGAAGGTTCCTCTTCACTCATTTGGATCTGCCTCTCCCCAGGTTCCCACGGCCCACCCCCCTCACCACTGCGCAGTGTGTATGCAGTTTGTGCGGAAGGAAAACCTACTTTCTCTGGCCTGTCAGCACCAGTTTTGCCGTAGCTGCTGGGAGCAGCACTGCTCAGTACTTGTCAAGGATGGCGTGGGTGTGGGTGAGTCTGCTGCAAAATTTGTAAAAGGCTGGCATGAAGTATTTATCTTCAGCTTTGCCCTTGCAGGTACTCAGGTCAACTGTGTGTTTTCTTCTGAGCCTGATTGGGGTTTTTATTGTCAGAACCATTAGTTTCCAAACACATCAGGCTGAACAGTGGCAAGATTTTCCCCAGTCCTGAGCAAAATGAGAAGATTAAGGCTATTGTTTGGGCATATATGTAAATGTTGGTGTGAGTGCAAGGTGAACTTCTGGGAGAACTCTCCTTTAAGCTACCTACCCTATCTTGATGCCCCAAGTGGTAGCTATAACTCAGAAACCCTCAGAGATTGCTGCTATTTAGGTAGCATAACACAAATCAGATTTGGTGATTGGTTATAGGAGTGTTTGTCATGCTATGACTTGATGGTATTAGAACTCAATTAGCATCCCATTTACAGTATCTGCAGAATCTCATTGTGTTGGGTGGTAGTCACTTGCACGTAATACGAAATGTCACAAAACAAAATTGTTAGTCAAGAACCATATAGGATTTTTTTTAAGTTAATCTCTGCACTCCATGGGGGGCTTGAACTCAAGTCCCTGAGATCAAGAGTCGCCTGCTCTATCAACTGACCCAGACAGGTGCCCCAAGAACCATATAGGATTTTTTAGATGATACTGCTTTTTTAGTGGTGCTATTTGTGATATATATGTAATTTGAGGTAAATTTTAGTTGTGTCACTGCAAATACGTTAATTTCTCTCTCTCTCTTTTTAAAATCTGTGGCTTCAGGGATCTCCTATGTGGAATCTGAATTTGTTGGGTGAACGCAGTGGGGAAATATATTATTGTCATGTCTTCTGCAGTGCAGTTATCCGTCATGTTGTCTTTGTTCAACAGGAGTCTCTTGCATGGCTCAGGACTGCCCACTCCGAACACCAGAGGACTTCGTGTTTCCATTGCTGCCCAATGAAGAATTGAGAGACAAATACAGGCGCTACCTCTTTAGGGACTATGTGGAGGTATGACCAGCCCCTGTAGTTGCAAGTCTGTCTTCCTGGGCCTACCTTCCACCTCATGCTCATCACAGTCACTTTGTAGACAAGGCTGCCATTGGATGCTATAATTTGAAGAAAGAGCTTGTGGCTTTTACAAAGTGGAGAAGCCACTAGAGTGGTAGTGAGGAACACAGGCCCTGGAGTCAGGCTGACAATGACATGAATCCCAGGTCTGTTACTTCCTCACTGTGTAGCCTTCCACCCTTTATTTGACCTCTCTGAGTCTTCGTTTTCTCTGGTAGAATGGTCAGGCCTCCTCCCCTTCTACACAGTTGCTTAAACTGTGTATTGTATGGCAGGGAATGAACACGAGTCAGGGCTATCTCAGGAGTTGCTGTTGCATTTGGTTCACTGTGTGATTTATAAAGCACAGAGAAGGGGTATTGCTTTTTGTGCAATTTGAAAACTTGTCCAGGATTCCAGCGTGGTCACTTTTGGATTCCCTCCCCTCCTTTGGGCTCCCGACTCAGGCTTGCAGCCTCCATGCAGCATAGTTCTCATAATTTTCGTCGATGGTGCCTGAGCTTACAAGATTGCCTAACTGGCTGGATCTTCTCGTACATGGGCTGCGGGATAAACAGTGCCTTGTTCCCTGTGCTGTTTGCTGCCTTTGGTACATGCGTGAAGGTCATTGAGCCTCTCAGAGCTTTTATTTTTGTTTTTGGGTAAAATTGGTGTGTAACATTATATTGGTTTCAGGTATACAACATAATAATTCAATATTTGTATATGCTACAAAGTGGTCACCAAAGTAAGTCTCGTTACCATCCGTCACCATATAATTGACCCCCTTCATCCATTTCACCCACCCTATAACCCCCTTCCCCTTCTATTCTCTCTATCTTTTGAGTTTTGTTTTGTTTATTCATTTTGTGTTTTAGATTCTGCACAGAAGTGAAATCATATGATACTTGTCTTTCTCGGTCTTATTTCACTTAGAATAATACTTTTAGATGCACAGCTGATTGGGCTGTGTTCCTTTCCAGACCTGTGCACTTTTAGCTCACAGACACAGTTCTGTACTCCATTTTATAATCTAGCCTTAGATCATTCTAGTGAGCTGCTACCTAGTTTTAGCTAAACATTCGTAGGTCTTTAATATCTGCCTAATGCTGTTCTTTGTGACATCCTTTCTGAATTCCTATAGCTCCTTGATAGAAGTCATCGGCTGGAAGGACAGAAGGTGTTTGAGCTGCAGGGAAGTCTGATTTGGAAGCAGTGACTAGGGGATGTCCTCATTGTTTCCCCTTGGTGTGTTCACAGAGTCATTACCAGCTCCAGCTGTGCCCTGGTGCAGACTGCCCCATGGTTATTCGGGTACAGGAGCCTAGAGCTCGCCGAGTACAGTGCAATCGGTGCAACGAGGTGTTCTGGTAAGAGCGAGTGTGGGTGCTGAGCAGCCCTGGGCTCCTGCCTTGTCCTCCAAAGCACCACTGCTGTTGCTGTGGGTGAGGGTGGAGCTGGGAAAGACAGGGTCTTTGAGCCTAACTAGCAGCTCTGCTCCGAAGGGGCAGGGTGTGTACCCAGCATCTCATGTTCCACGGGATGTTTGATAATGCGCAGTCTAGAAACAAAAAAGTGGCACAGATTCTTGGAGAATGTGCTATGGTTTGTGCTTCTGAGACTCATGGCACAGAGATTGTCTATGTTGGTATGTGTGTGCCTGCACAGATAATCGAATATTACTGTGTTTGAAAGCTACAACCTTCGGCGTTTGAATCATTCTCCATCTTGCCCTTTGTAGGCTAATTTTATAATGCTACAATTCATAAAGGTAGTTTATATCTACTTGGGTTGCTCTATTCAGTAGATACGGGGATAAAGTGTACTGAAGACTTACCATGGGAAAGACACTATTCTCATCTCTTTACCTACATTGTCACAATTGTGTACAATTGATACTATTGCCCTCATGTTAATAGGGGAGGAAATGGAGCTGCAAGGCAATGGCAGAGCCATAATTTACGTCCACATCTGTGTCTGTCCCTAATCATGCCTCCCTAAGATGATTCCTGGTGGGGCTTCAGAGAAACTACATGGAAAATGGGGTGTGTGTGCATGTGTTCTTGCCTTTCAAACCATTGTTGAGGGAGTCTGTGGCTCACCAAAGATTAAAAACCACTAACATAAGGGTGCCTGGGTGGCTCTGTCAATTAAGTGTCCGACTCTTGATTTCAGCTCTGGTCTTGATGTCAGGGTCGTGAGTTCAAGCCCCATGTTGGGCTCCATGCTAGGCGTGGAGCTTACCTTAAAAATAAATAAATAAATAAGAACCACTAATGTAGTTGCACTCCATCCTTTGTGTCCCACATTTTTTTTTTTTAAGATTTTTTTATTTGACAGATAGTGAGAGAGCACAGGCAGAGGGAGGGGGAGAAGCAGGCTCCCCACTGAGCAGGGAGCCCAACACGGGACTCAATCCCAGGACCCTGAGGTCATGACCTGAGCCGAAGGCAGACACTTAATCAACCGAGCCACCCAGTTGCCCCTTTGTCCCACATTATGAACTTCTTTCCCTGGGACATGTGTTAGGCTGTTTGCCTGAGTGTCTTTACTATCCAGACGTTGTGTTAGCTTGGACAAAAGGGAAATGAAAAACATGGAAACCTAGCTGGATGAGTTGTTGGAGTGTTTTCTTTTCTGATTTTAAGTTTCAGGCATTGTCAGAGGTATTGGCCCTGCAGACTGAACAGGTTCTGTCCTGTGTACATCCTGTGCACATCTGGCTGGGAGTCAAGTCAAGGCTCCCAAAAAGTGGATCTTGGTTCTGTTTGGGTCTGAGCTGAGTTACCTGTCTCAGAGCACCTCGCCATGCCCTTTGAGAAACTGAACTCTGAATTTGACATCCTTTAAGGGAGGGTTAACACCACGCAGGATATTTAAGACAGAAGCATTTTATTTGGGTTTATTAAGAGTGTGTCTTAGAAGTGCTTAGATTAAAGAGATATTCATACAGTATTTCGGTATAGCCCTGGGTAAGTAAAGATCCCAAAGGCCTTGAGAAGTGACTTGACTTCTTTGAAAAACTCTAATTCAGGATCTGTTGGCTTGGACAGAAGGAAAATTGAAAATATGGTACCCTGACCTAACAATTATTTGAATGTTTTTCTTTTCTGGTTTTAAGTTTCAAGTGTCGTCAGATGTATCACGCCCCCACAGACTGCGCCACAATCCGGAAATGGCTCACGAAGTGTGCAGACGACTCTGAAACAGCCAACTACATTAGTGCTCACACTAAAGACGTAAGGACTGTATCTTACCTGTCATGGATCTGCCCTCCTTAATGCTGCCTAGGGCCTCACCCAGGAGGCTGGCCATTGAGAGCAGAACACCCAGGGCCCCAGGGCCCTTGCTGGAGGCTGCAGACCCTTGCCCAAACTTGGCAGAGTTTGCAGCGGACTATCATAGCATGTGTTGGATGCGTTTATTTTAATAATAAACTCCCTGGAAAAGTTTGACCCATATGGTGAATAATTAGAAGAAAACCTGTTTTTTTTTTTAATGCCTCCCAGGCTTTAACAGCCCTGGGAGGGAGGTGGTTGATAGCAACATGTAGTAAAGAGCAAGGCTCTGATGCAAGCCCAGGCATGCCCAGTTCTCATTCTGAAACTTCCCATGGGAAAACGTGGCCCTCAGCCCCTTGAGCCCTGGGTGACTCAGCACCTACCCTGTGCTGGTCATGTGCTGAGTTGCTGCACTCACAGCATAGCCATGACCGTGACCTCATTAAACATAGTCTGCTTTGTGGCAGTGGGAGAGCAGAGCGTCAGACTGGTCTCTGCATTGCTGCCGAGGTTGGGGCATCTCTCAGATGAGAGCAAGTGAGCTTTAGAGGTTGTTTCCTTGCCCTCTTGTGGAAGCAGAAGTCCAGGCAAGCTGACCAGGACTTGGTCCAGTGTGGCAGCTCGTGTGTTGCTTTGGCATTCTTCCCAAGCAGGAAGGCTTTGTGCTGACTCAGCTTGTGCTTAATCTGAGCAGCCTCGTGGCAGAGACAGATGGTGGAAGACTTAGTGGGGCTCAGCCGGTGCTTGGAGTGTTTGAGAGCCAAATGTGCTGACCTCATTTCCTTGAATTGCTGTTCCAGCCTCAGCGACCCGCCACATTTAAGTGAGATGCTCCTCCCCACAAGGGCTCGCACGATGAGCTACTGGGCACGGGTGCCAGGAGCTTTGTGTAATTTGTCTTAGATCCGGCCTGGTCGTGTGTGAGCCTAATGGCGCCCTTCTGTCTCCTCAGTGTCCCAAGTGCAACATCTGCATTGAGAAGAATGGAGGCTGCAATCACATGGTGAGCAGAAGCCCGTACCCTTTGCATATGTGCCATGGAGCCTTTGGTCAGCCTGCCCTTAACATGTTCTCTTCTGTTTCCCTCTGACAGCAATGCTCCAAGTGTAAACACGGTGAGTCCCAGGCGTGGTACACAAGGCCCAGGGGCACAGTCTGCATTTCTTGTGCCTGGGCCTCCACTGTTTAGTGAGTGCTTTTGTAGTGAAGTGACAAAGGGTGGCCTCAGTCACTTACAGTACCCAGCCTAAAGCAGCTCTTGATTTTTTACTTACTCCTTTCTGGTGCCTCTTAACAATCTCACTGCCATCTTGCTGACACAGATAGTCAGAAGTCAAGGTTGGGATGACTCTTAGAACTTAATGATCCTCAGTCATCCAAGAAGATTTTAGTGTGCTCTTTTTATTTTTGCCAAGGCAGGTAAGTAATGTGGGGTTTATCTGTGCTACCTTACAGGTTTCTTTTTAGAACAGGCTGTTTTATTGGAGGGAGTAACAGAAGAGTCTTCCTTCAAGGTTTTACAAAGTTTCCACAAGGGCTTCTGATTTGGCCTTTTACATCTTCGTCCATCAGGAGTAGCTTACATGGAACCTATTGGTTTTGCTTTCCTTCCTGCCAGATGAAGTAAAGAAATAAAATTTGTTCAAGTAGAAAGTATGTCCAGGCAGGTCTCCTACACAGCAGCTTCAATGCTGACCAGAAGGCCCTGAGGGTTCCTCTTTGTAACGGTCCATCTAATGGTATTCCTGTGTTTTCCCAGGAGCCCACCATAATCAGAATGGACATGGCAAGGTGTTAGAGGGGAACAGTGGCAGTGAAGTGTAGAATGAAGATAGGCCGTGGGTAGTGGCATATTTCCTCTGTGGTATCCCACTCTGTCTTTGTGTGTTTGAGTGAGAGGGACGTGTTATCATCCACTTAGAAAAGTGCATAAGACTTGCATACAGTTTAAAGAGAAATGGCAAGTGAACACCCCGGTACCCATCATATTCCTTGCACCCAAGAAGTCCCCGGTGTGTCCCTCCCCGTAGTCTCCCCATCGCTCACCACCCAGAGTTAGCTGCCATCCTTTGCATTCCTGTATGGTGACCACCTATACGGGCAACCCTAAGCAGTGTAGTAGTATTTAAGACAGTAGCAAGCACCACCTAGCTAATTAAGGAGATAGCGGTATTGCCGCTGTTTAGTGAAGGCTCCCAGGAGAAGAGAACGACTTCTGGGTCTCTGAGGGTCTCCCCAAATTTTATATGAGGTCCTTTGGAGAAGTCAGTGAGCCAACTTGAATCCTGGGAAACAGGGTTTACCCACCGTCAGGGTCTTTGTCAGAGACAGGATATAGATCAGACAGGATAGAGATGTAGCCATCTAACAGCACTGTGGTTGGCCCCTCTCCATTAGACCACAGTAATTTATAGATGTTTGGTGGATCTTTATTTTTCTCTCTTCACTTCCTCAGTGTAGAAGCAGGCTCATAATTCTGAGTAGGAACTATTGGGTAGCTATTGGTTTTATAGAAGTGTTCTTTAAAAAAAAAAAAATGACAAAATAGCAGAAAGTCTTTATTCCCAGCTTTGTGTACAAAATATTCTTAGGACAGGTGGCTATTCATATTGGCAAGGAAAGGCTACAGGGACAGTGTTATGTGACAAAGAGGAGAGGTGCACTTTCCTCCTGGAAAGAGGCACCCTTAGGAAGTTCTGGTCAGGTCACAACCCCGCCCCACCCCCCTTTCACAGGATCTGTCTGTCCCACTGCTTTACCGTTGGAGGAATGCGGGCTTATCTTGTGGGTGTAAATGCCTCATTTTCTATTCTTTGCAGACTTCTGCTGGATGTGTCTAGGAGATTGGAAGACCCATGGCAGCGAGTACTATGAGTGCAGTCGGTACAAGGAGAACCCCGACATTGTCAACCAGAGCCAACAAGCGCAGGCCAGGGAGGCCCTCAAGAAGTACTTGTTCTACTTTGAGAGGGTAGGCATCTTCTTCTGCGGCTGCTCCTCATGAGTGGGCTTCTTCCCACTGGCCTGCTGAGGCAGAATTCCCAGGGACTGGTATGCCGGTCCATGCACACAGAAGTCAGGGAGAGGAGCTCCTGCAGTGGGCCTGAGTGATGCTTCCAGTAAATGTGACTTTTGGGCTTCAAAGGGCAGCCACGACCAACAGTGCTCTTTGAATGATGGATTAAAGAACAATGAGGGGACCATCAGATAGTCTTTTCCATCTGGTACCATCTTAGTCAAATTTAGAGGGCACTTCCTCCCAGGAAGACCCTTCAGAAGCCCAAAGAGGGTGGCACATTTGCTTTCTAAACACAGTAGACCAGTGGGTGCCTAGCTTTGTTTAGTCTTCAGGGCTGAAGCCCTGTTGCCCTAGATGGTAGAGTGATGTGGCTGGCAGGCCACTGCTTAGGACAGGGTTAGTAGTTTGGACTGAGGAAGTTCCCCTCCTGGGGCACTTGAATGGCTCCATCGACTGGGCGGCCAACTCGTGATTTCAGCTCAGGTCAGGATCTCAGGGCCCTGGGATCAGCCCACATTGGGCTCTGCACTTAGCAGGGAGTCTGCTTTTCTCCGTCTCCCTCTGCCCCTCCACCCTGCCCTGCATGCGCGCGTGCTCTCTCTCTCAAATAAATAAATCTTTAAAAAAGAAGAAGAAGTTCTCCTCCTGCACTTGCAAGGACACACAGTCCCCATAAGTTAGATGAAGCTGTGGCCATGCTGTGCCAACCGAGGTGTCTATTCTGAACTTATGTCAGGACTTGTGTACCTTTCTCTATACCCTGTAGTGGGAAAACCATAACAAGAGCTTGCAGCTGGAGGCACAGACATATCAGCGGATTCATGAAAAGATTCAGGAGAGAGTCATGAATAATCTGGGGACGTGGATCGACTGGCAGTACCTACAGAATGCTGCCAAGCTCTTGGCCAAGGTCTGTACCACCTACCCCTTCTGATCCCTGGCCCAGCACCTGGCCCTGTCAGGCCCAGACGTCTGAGGGTGGGAGGCAGTGTACGGGGCAAGGGAACACAGCACTGTGTCGCTCTACATGCTTCTGCTTCTGGGCCCACATTTCCCTGGGCTCTGCCCACTGAGGACCCAGCCTGCTGCTGGCTGCCAGGGGATTTCCAAGAAGAGTATTCCACTACCTCAGTCATAGGGAAGGAACTGCAGGGAAAACTAGAGCCCTTTGCTTCTTTTGTCCCATCCACGCATCACTCCAAAGAAACTAAGAGATTGTCTTTGGACAAGTATTGAGATAGGTGTGTGGACTCTGATGTCCGACCCGAGGGAAGAGCCATTGAGGCAGCTGCTGGTAATAAATCACAATTTGAAAAAGGAACTGTGGGGTGTTCTGTGACCATTTCTGTTTCAGCTTTTTCCATGTTGTCCCCCAGTTCATCCTTTATTTGGCTTGGCCTCATTTCCTTCGAGCTCATACCTGTAGAGCCAGGCTAACTGCACGGTAGGATAAGAATTGTGAAAGCCGCCTGCGATGCATGCAGGTTAGGTTCGCACGTGCAGCCTTCTGTCTTCTGTTGTAGTGCCGGTACACCTTGCAGTACACTTACCCGTACGCCTACTACATGGAGTCTGGACCCAGGAAGAAGCTGGTAAGGCCAAGCGGTCCTCTGCTCTGCCCTCTTAGCTTCAGAGGTACCCTTGTCTACCCGCACTTTCCCAGAGAGTGGGGACCAGACCCTGGTTGTTGGGAGGGCAAAATAAAACTGTCAGTTTTAAAAAGTTTAGCTCTCCTGGGGCGCCTGGGTGGCTCAGTCAATTAAGCATCTGACTCTTAGTTTGGGCTCAGGTTATGATCTCAGGGTGGTGAGATTGAGCCCTGCTCCACGCTCAGCACGGAGCCTGCTTAAGATGCTTTGACCCTTGTGTGCATACATGCTTGCTCGCTCTCTCTCTCTTTAAAAAAAAAAAAAAAAAAGTTCAGTTCTCCTGTAGGCATCTCTAAAATAGACTTCAGGCCCTGGCTTTGTGTCTAATATCAAGGCAGATATACCAAAGCCCCTGAATGGCCATAGTTATAGGGCAACTGGCTAAAAAGCTCTTGGGAGGCCGGCACCCATGCTTTAGGAGGATACCCAATATGCATGTTCCTAAATTATAGTGGACTTTTTTGCATCTTTGTTTAATTCTTTATCTTAGATATGGGTTGTTTCCCCTGATTATAAAGTAATACACATTTATTGCTTAAATGTTGGAAGACAGAAAAACATTTACATCATCCATAATCCCACCAGAAAGACATGGCTACTGTTAGCATTTTTCAGCCTTTTAATTATTTCTACATTTAATGTTAATTATATACATGACATTCTGTTGTTATAACCGTTTATTGTTGCAGCTGTCCTTATTTACCAGGCTGGTAAATACTGTTTTTAATATGTGCATAAATGTTTCATTATATGGTTGTACCATCAGTTGGGGTGTTTATTGTTTCTCTTTTTCATTACTGTAAGACGTTGAGGAACATTTTGTGTATAATTGTACAACGGATGTACAATTACTAAGTCAAATGGTTTGAATATTTTTAAGACTTGATTTGCAGAAGGGCTGAAAAAATTAAGTATTCAGTGAATACCATGTCTGTGAATATCCATTTTGACTTGTTTTTGTAGCCTCTGTTTCCCTGTATGTTGAGAATATTGTCATCAGTGGCTTAAATTTTCCCCCTTCTTTCGGGGTGGAGGGTAATTGGGGCCTTGCTGCTTAGCTGTACTCTTCAGGTAGCCTTTTTTTTTTTTTTTTTTAAAGATTTTATGTATTTATTTGACAGAGAGACAGCAAGAGAGGGAACACGAGCAGGGGGAGTGGGAGAGGGAGAAGCAGGCTTCTCGCTGAGCAGGGAGCCCGATGTGGGGCTCGATCCCAGGACCCTGGGATCATGAGCTGAGCCGAAGGCAGACGCGTAATGACTGAGCCTCCCAGGCGCCCCTCAGGTAGCCTTTTGTTGAGGTTCTGGCTCTGGCTGCAGGAGCTAGCACTGCTCTCTGAGGACAGTCACAGGGTTGTCTGTAGCTCATGCGAGCCTGAGGTGCTGCGTCTGCCCCTCCCATCTGCAGGCCCTGCCCTGGCTGCAGCCCCTCTCCTTTTGACCCTCCTGCTCTGCCCATACAGTTTGAATACCAGCAAGCTCAGCTGGAGGCTGAGATCGAAAACCTGTCATGGAAAGTGGAGCGTGCAGACAGCTATGACAGAGGGGTGAGTGCCTGCCCCCTTCTTGGTCCCTCTCTTGCAGGCCAGGAGAACTGACTTGTTAACAGGCGACAGGGTTGTTAGCCTGTGGACCGGAAGCTGCTGCAGAGCAGGGTGGGAAGGGCAGTGCCTTGACCCCTTGAAGCCCCTGCGAGTGGTGGGGGGGTGGCTTTGGCTGTTCCGCGCTCTCGGGACTGGGCTATGCAAGCACCATCTTGCTTCCCTGCTGCAGGACTTAGAGAACCAGATGCACATAGCAGAGCAGCGGAGGAGAACCCTGCTGAAGGATTTCCATGACACCTAGAATGGGACACAGACGCGCTGGAGTGAGGACGATGTGGCTGTGAGGCCTCCCGGCTGCCGAACTGCATGCTGCAGGCTCTGCCTTTCACCACCTCAGGCAACAGCCAGGGCCCCACTCCTGACAGACACTGGCCATGCACCTGTTAGTCCATTTCTGTTTTCTTCTCATCTTTTCGCTTTTTGTTTCTACCAGGGCAGAGGCCATGTTGAATTGGTCTCTTTTCAGGACTTTTAATTCCCCCTGGATGGTTGTTGGGAGGGAGGGAAAGTTTTTTCTGAATGACTATTAATAGTATTAGATCATTACAACTTATGTAATTTTCAAAGGTTGTATAATTATACAAAAAAGAAAGGGCAAACCATAGAATTACACAGAACCCTTTTTAAAAATAAATTGGCATTGGAGTGTTTTACCCTCTAGCTATCTTACTTAGAATGTAACATATGCTGCCTGCCCATCCTGCCTCAGAATGTCTCCTGCAGGAGGACCCCAGGGTGGTCTCGGTTTTCCAGATTCTCATGGGTTTGGCCACAGCTGGTGTCTCGGGAAGAGTGTGGGTGGCGGACGGTGGGGAATTTAGTTGGCCTGTGTAACGGGCATGGGGCACTGGCAGTCACATCATGCCTCCTGCCTGGTCCTTGGGGGACCCTTCTGTGGTCGGGTGCACCTGCCTTACCTTCCAGGGAGGAGATAATACAGAAGGGGGCCTTGTCACAGGGTGTTATTGTCTCCAATGGCACTGTGTGTCTGTGGGCTCATCTTTCTTCCAGGTTTACCCGGGTCTGGCCACTGAGGCCAGAGCCCACAGCAGAGCATAGGTGGACTTGTGGCCCTCCAGACCAGGGGACATGGGTTCAGCACAGTGTTTCCTTTTGTCTCCTAAAGATAGAGATCTACTTTTAAAGGGAATTATTCCCCAGAATAAATTTGTTTTACCTTGGTCCCTTCTTTTGTGCCAGTGTTCCAGTAATATAACTAACTAGGTTCACACACAGCTGTCCATACCTGACACTGTCCTGCTACACTGTTCTCTGGTGAACTTCAGGGTCAGAGTTCAGCATGGCCCTCCCAAGGGCACAGGTCTTCCGGACTCAGGGGCCTTCTTTGCACAAGTGGTTTTCATGTTATCAGGAGTGTGTTCTCCTCCAGAGTGGCTGCTCTGGGGTCTGGAAGTCTGAGGCCAGGAGGGTCCTGGGTTTGCGGTTCCAGCTACTATGCTAGAAGGGCTGGCCAGGGGAGAGGGCCAGCTTTTGCACAGTTGAGTGCAAAGGAACAGGTGGTTGGTGTGGTGTCCTGCCTGTCCTAAACCTGGTCCTGTGTGCCTTTTAAAAGTTACATCTGTGATTCCTGGGGTTTTGTGGCTTTGTTCACTGCCTCCACTCTGAGGCTGGCAGAGCTGTCTATACTGGACAGGGCCTCCTTCACCTCCTGGAGGAGTTGCTTGGGACATTTGTGAATATTACGGTGGAAGTTCTTTGATACTCAGACATTCTCACCTCAGTCAGCAATTTCCCAGGGACCATGTTAGCTGTAAACTGAATCACTCTTGAAGTCAGAGGACAGCTGTGATTCTTGGGATCATGGGGTACACAGCTGGCTGCAGGCTCCCTGTCTCCCCCAGCCCCAACCCAGGCTTTGTCTTTTCCTGTCACCTGCAAGGGAGGGACTGTGAGGTAGAGTGGGAGAACAAGTTAGGAGTGCAGCACATGAGCCCAGAATTGAACGGCGGGGAGCTCACTGAAGGAGGAGCCTGCCTGCTGCAGGACCTAGGGGTCTGTGTCAATGCTGCATTGACGCGTGGAAGATCCTGGCGTCTGGAGCCCTTACCTCTCCATTAGTCCTTTCCGTGTCACCGCCATGGCAGGGGTGCTGCAACTCTGCACCTTAAGGCACACCCTGGGCATCCTGGGCAGTTCTTGGACTGCACGGCTACCACGTGGTACACTTGTACCCAGCTGTGGCCCCAACCACTGGAGCTGCAGGAGGTTCTGTGCCCCCAGGGGCTGTCCTTCGGTAACATCAGGAAGATGGGAAAGGTCAGGCAGAATTGTTCTGCCCTACAAAGGATAGAAGATAATGGAAGGCACAGTGTTTTCATGAATTTACCATAATATCTTTGTTTTCTTCAAAGAAAAAGTTGAGGCAACATCCTCTGCTCAATGTTGAGTGGTTTATTCAAAATAAACAAAGTTTCTGATTATAAAGTTGTGTAGAGTCTTCCTTCCAAGGATCCAGGTAACCTCCTGAGCCGACACCCCAGGGGATTCTGGCTAGTGAGCACCAAATGGGGGCCTTCCTATTGATCATCCCCCTCCTCTAGAGACCTGTGAAGGTCTCGCTGGCCTCTGTTCTGCCTTCCTTCTCTGTCTGGCTTTCTGAGGAGAGGGCATCTGTGGAGAGAAGTGGAATGTCCTGCCTATTTTTACTTTCCTCTCCGTCCTTGGGTTGCAGGCCATACCATTCCCCCCACAAAAAGATCCTGGGATAGTAGCAGAGTAAACTGGTGGGAATGCCCCACAGCTCCTGCAGAGGCCCTGAGTCCCTCATTCAGAAAACCCGCTAGGTCCCTCCAAAGCAGATATGGAAGCCTGGGTGGGAGTGAGGAGAGTGGCCTCACAGGGACTCGGGGGTTACAAAGATAGGACTCTAGACAGAAACCTGAGTGTGTGGAGTTTAATCCCAAGGACTGAGGACAGGAAATGGAGCTTGGGTTCTGAATTGAGGGGCTCCACACCTGTGGTGGCAAGAGTGGGAGCAACTTCGGTGATAGCTCAGAGGTTAAGGCTCCAAAGCTGTGGACAGCATGCACAGGACAGGCAAGGCCAGAGAGGCCCTAGACATGCCAGTCTGAACCCCACAGCTGCATCCCTGGCCCTCTGGGGTGCTGAGCCCCGTGCATGGCCTGGGCATACAGTGGTGTGCAAAGATCCATGGGCTCTACCCTCTCAGAGCCTCCAGAACATGGGGGACAACGATGGAATTGATCACTAGTGAATGTCTTCACTGAGGCAGCAAGGCCCAGGGCTAAAGGGTCACTCCTGGGGCCCTTGGGTGGCTCAGTTGTTAAGCGTCTGCCTTTGGCTCGGGTCATGATCCCAGGGTCCTGGGATCGAGCCCCGCATCAGGCTCCCTGTTCCACGGGAAGCCTGCTTCTCCCTCGGCCTGCCGCTCCCCCTGCTTGTTTGGTGTGTGTGTCCCTCTCTCTCGGGGTGCCTGGCTGGCTCAGTAGGTAGAGCATGGGATTCTTTTTTTTTTTCCCCCAAGATTTTATTCATTTATTTGACAGAGACACAGAGAGAGGGAACACAAGCAGGGGGAGTAGGAGAGGGAGAAGCAGGCTTCCCGCTGAGCAGGGAGCCCGATGCGGGGCTTGATCCCAGGACCCTGGGATCATGACCTGAGCCGAAGGCAGATGCTTAACGACTGAGCCACCCAGGCGCCCTGAGCAGGGGACTCTTGATCTCAGGGTCGTGAGTTCAAGCCCCACACTGGGTGTGGAGCCTATTTAAAAAGAGAAACCTCATGGCCCTTAGGTAGCAACAGGGCAATAGGTTTTAAAAAAGGCCCAAGTTCCAGTTTATGATGTGGTTGTGAGATTCCCACAGCCAACAGCAGGTGGAGCAGAACTAGACAGTGAGCATTCCACATCCCCACCCCAGTGCCCCAGCAGGCTTGCCTTCTGTTGTCTGGTGATGAGTTAGAGAAGGAGCTGTGCATGGCAGTGGGCGTAAGTCACTTGGGTATGGGAGATAGGAATATGGGAGAAAGGGTTCAGAAAAATCAGGAATATGAGGATTTGTGGTGATCTAATTATAGGTATTAAAAGGCTAAAGAGGAAATGGTCTCAACATTCATGGGTACCAGAAAACCATGACGTCCTTGGTAAAACTGTGACTCGGTTAGTTGGTGTTTTTTTGCATTAAAGAACTTAGGAGAGGGCACCTGGGTGGCTCAGTCAGTTGTCTGCCTTCAGCTCAGGTCATGATCTCAGGGTCCTGGGGTCAAGCCCTGCATCAGGCTCCCTGCTCAGCGGGAAGCCTGCTTCTCCCTCTCCTACTCCCCCTGCTTGTATTCCCTCTCTTGCTGTGCCTCTGTCAGATAAATAAAATCTTTTTTATAAATTAAAAAAAATTAATTTAGGAGATTACAAAAAGAAAAGAAAAAAATTTAGGAGATTAATACGATTTGGGGAAAATGTACTTGTTTCGGTTGTGCTATATACTTGGAAGTTGAGAGAATTCTGACCTAACTAGAGTGGCTTAAAGACAAGCTGCAGGAAATTTGGACACTCCTAAGTTGGTAATAGGATTTTTTTCCATTTGAATCCAAAACATTTCTTTTGTGGCCATTCTATGTATGTATGTATGTTATGTATGCTTTAGAATGCATACTGCCTCTGTCTGCACCTCCACGCACAGGGAGTCCAGGCTCGCCTGGTTACCTGCAGAGCCTGGTCCCCACTCCATCTGAAACAGAATGCTGGACCACTGGTGGTGTTTGGTCAGCATCCCAATTTCGGCTGAAACATAACAATTCCCATTACCACCTCCCCCTCCTCCCCGTTAGACACGTCCAGAATGTCTCCTTTGGTTGGGCAGTGTTTCTCTGTCGTATCCTAAGAAGATTGACAAGATGGTCCCTGAGGGTGGCTGGATGAGTGGATGCACCCATGTGCTTGGGCACTGGTGAAACCTGCATTGTGTGTAGAATCTCTGAGAGAGGAGGTGGGCCTACATTTGGAGCCCCTGGCCTGCTCTGGGGAGACCAGAAAATGCAGACTCCACTTTTCTGGAAGAAAACAGGCGGGAGAGGGGCTTGTTCACAGGGTAAAGAGAAAACCACTAGTGAGACCTGACTTAGTGGCGCTGCTCTTGTCTGCCTGTCCACCTGGAGGGGTCGGCTTCTGCCCTGGGGCCTGTGCATCTCTGCCTGAGGATAACCCAGCCCTAGAAGAGCAGGGAGCATGAAAATGCCCAGGCTTTGGCACTTGGTCACTGGTATGCCCTCCCACCTCCATACCTGGTGATGATCTGAGTTTCTTTCCTCTGAGGGGACTACAGCCCACACCATCCTGAATGCGCCCAATCTTGTCTACTTTTCCTCAGAAGCAATGGTGTCTCAATTACAGAAAAGCCCCTTTCTCACAGAAAAGTGCCTTTCTCCCTCTTTCCCTGTGCCAGCTTTGAGGCAAGAAATGTTTCTGTGCACCAGAGCACCTGAATACCTGCTTGTTCCTGCAGGTTGTTATTAGGGGTTTGAGCTTCCTGGTGCCAGGGCTCCTCCAGGAAGCCCTCTCTGACCACTACAAACTGGATCCCACCGTCTACGCCCGTATGCGACCTTGAACATCAGGCAGCTTCTTCCTAAGGCCTGACTCCTATAGGCCTCCCTGTGAGGTCCACCGACCTCAGAGCAGAACTCCAAGGTATTCTTGGCCTTCTAAGCTGGCGAACGACAGTGCCGAAAGCTGTGGGTCCTACACCATCACATACGCAGTCGTCGGCCTCCGCGGCGCCCCCAAATGCCGCATTATTGAGTCATCTTTTAGCACTGCTTCGTCGCTATCACCCCACTCCCGGAAGCGAAGAGAGAAGTGCATCTTAACCAGGGGACGGAGAAACTACTAATGGGGTTTCCTTTAATGGTGCCGCTCTTGTGTGCCTCTGCATTGCGGGTGGGGGAGAGGGTCGGCTTCTGCCCTGGGGACTGTGCATCTCCTCCTGACAGCAACCCACCCCGGGAAGAGAAACTCCAGCGTGGGCCGGGGTCCAGGGCGCACGGGAGACGGAGCGCCGCGCAGGGGCGGGCGCGGGCGGCTCCCGCGGGTGCAGCATCCCCATGCACGGTCTCCTAGAGACCGCGGCGCGCGCGGGCTCCGGGGCGGTTGTCCAGGCGACGGCGCAGCGCGGCGCGGGCATCCCCGCGGCCCCTCCCCTGGGCGTGCGCGCGACCTGGGCGCCATGGCGGCGGCGGCGGCGGCGGCGGCGGCAGCAGCGGCGGCGGCGGCGGTGGCGGCCCAGAGGCCGGAGGCCGTGAGTCCGCAGTGGGCGCCGCCTGGACACGAGCGGGCCCGGGCTGCGGCCGGGCTGGGCGACTGCGAGGACGCACCGGTCCGGCCGCTGTGCAAGCCCCGCGGCATCTGCTCGCGCGCCTACTTCCTGGTGCTGATGGTGTTCGTGCATCTGTACCTGGGCAACGTGCTGGCGCTGCTGCTCTTCGTGCACTACAGCAACGGCGACGAGAGCAGCGACCCCGGGCCCCAGCGCCGCGCCCAGGGTCCCGGGCCCGCGGCGACCCTAGGTCCCCTCACCCGGCTCGAGGGCATCAAGGTGAGGACTCCCGTCTCGCCGCGCTCCAGGCCCTGCACGGCGAGCCCGTGACGGCCGCCGCGCAGCCCACGACCTCCACGCTGCTCCCTGCGTCGTCTGCCCCGCGCGCACCTCCCGCTCGTCGCGCTCGGGGCCCGGGTGCCTGTACCCTCCTTGGGTGGCGCGGCCTGGGGCCCGAGCTGCCCGCAGTGCCCCTTTCCCTTAGGTGGGGCACGAGCGGAAGGTCCAGCTGGTCGCCAACAGGGATCACTTCATCCGAACCCTCAGCCTCAAGCCGCTGCTCTTTGGTAAGTCAGCTGGGCGCTCTTGGGAAGGGCCAGGGGCTGCGGTTTGGGGGGCGCCTGGAGGCTTGTTTTGGCCACGTGACTTTTGTTTTGAAAATGGCTGCTTCAAAGTGGCTCTTTTATCACCCAAAGGTTTCCCAAAGTGAAGTACCAACCCCCACCTCTATAATAGGGTCACCGGGTGACCTTTCCACACTCCCCTCTCTGACCCCTACTCTGCAGCTGATCCTTCCATTACAGGGCTGGGCAATGTGACCCTGAGGCGATTGTCTAACCACTTCACTGAAACCATCTTTGGACACTTCCTGCCATCATTAATTCTATCACATTCTAGAATTGGGGGAGGGTGGGAAAGACTGATAACCAGGTCCTAGCTGATCTCAGGGCCTCTGAGGAGGAATCGCACTCCCAACGTGGACCTTGTGGTCTGATGAGGGTTCTTAGGATGGAGTTGTGTTCCGCCATAAGTAGGCAAAACCTTCCAGTGTGACCTCATTTGGAATCAGCATCATAAGCTCACATTTTCTGAGCTCTGGTTATGTGCTAGGCTTCATGTGATCGTTTCAATTAATTCTTACAACCCCTCT